CATTTTTTGTTGTCTTTAACGACAGCAGCGATTGCATTCTACCCTTTTTGTGCTTCCTGGGCTCTCAGTGTGCGTTTTGGGGCACCCTGGACCCCTTGGTGTGCCTCTCTCTGCATCCCTGGAGCCCTGGGTGTCCCCTTGAGGGTACCTCAAGCCCCTACTGTCAATTCTGGGATGCCCCTACCCCTTGGTTTGCTTTCTGGTGTGCCCAGTCCCCCTGAGCATGCCTTTCTGCGCACTCTGGACCACTGGGTGGGCCTGTTGGGTCTCCCCACCCCACTCAATGTGCCTTTCAGGGTGCATGGCATCTCTCGACGTGATTTTCAGTGTGTGACAGAGCCCTGGATGTGTCTTTTGGCTCCTCCCTATACCCCACAGTGTGTGTGTCAGCATTGCCCGAGCTTCACATTGTGCATTTTAGTGCACCTTCAGACCCCTCACTGTGCCTTTGGCTGCCCCAGACCCCTGGATGTGCCTTTCAGGGCACCCCAAACAGCTTGACGTGAGTTTCAACAGGGTGTCCTGTTCTCACAGGGTGTGTGATTCAGGGCATCTCCAGACCCCTGGATGTGCCTTTCTGGTAACTCTGGACCTATCCGTGAGCCTTTCCAGATACCCCTGATAAGGTCGTCCCTGAGGTATGGCTTTCTGGAAGCAGGAGGGCAGGCCCAGCCACAAGTACGGTGGAAAGCCTGCCCACGGCCATGGCTTTGGCCCCATTGCAAAAGAGTTAAAGGGCTCACTGAAAACCTGCCAAACTCACTTGGAGAAAAGCATTAGCCAGGATCCCCGTCTTGTCCACATCTCGGAGCAGGTCTTCGAAGAACCTCATGACCACTCTCCTTCCTCGACACACCAGGATGCCGAAGTTCTTGAAGACGAAGTTGAAGTACATGCCTTTGGTCAAGGCCCACGCGATGACTTTCAAGGTCGCCTCGATGCACGTCAAGACCTTCCCTCCTCAGGTGCCACTTGCCAGAGCCCGTGAAAATCTCAAACAGGGCATTGGAGATTTCATGTCTACCCTCTGCACTGCAGTGTGCCTGCACAGATCGAGGAGGAGGCATGCCTGAAAACCAGGCCCTGAACCCTCCTGCAGCACGGCCCTGCCAAGCTTCCCCGGAAAGCCCCAGCGGCAGGGAACCATCCTGGAGGGAGCTGGCAGGGGTTTCCCCAGCGGGGCCGGCACCAGGGGATGGAGGGCAGCAGCCCGGCCCTGGAAATAAGGGTTTTGCTTCTGGGAAGCTCAGAGCCGTCCACGAGGGACAAAGGATACCCCCGGACAACCAAGATAACGCCAGCGTCCTAAACGCCTCCGACGCGTCTCTGACACCCTCCCGGCAGCGGCTGGCGTCACAGGTCAGTAACT